GGAGATTATTACGCATCATTAATCAAAAAACTACGCGAAGAACTAAAAAATAAATTGCGTGCTGGAGTTTTTTTCATCATGATAATGCCCCTGCCCATCGATCAGATCATCCAAACTACTGCCTTTCAGCTGATGCAGTACCCACCGTATTCTCCGGACATAGCTCCGAATGTTTTTCACCTTCATACTTACCTAAAAACAATTAGCGTGGTATGAAATTCAACGGCGACAATGAGGTGATGTGTGCTCTAGAGGCCTTTTTCGAGTCGCAGGACATCTACATCTATCCTCGATTACTGAGACTAAGATGACTATAAGATGGAATGCCTCGTTTCCAGTAAAAAGGGTCTCCGGTTCTCTACACTCACCATACGAAACACAGCAGCATTAAGCTACTATTTTACGCTGGTATTCTATGAGAGCGTAGTCATTATAGGTCATAGGTCGAGCCGACTCAAACGTGCTACAACTATACTACTAATATAACTGCAGCATAGCTCTACCACGTATAAATATTAATAATTTATGTAAAGTTATAACCAAATTTAATATTTATATATCGCTTACACCACAGAAATCTAAATAATAAGTCAATATTTAAATGTCTGTGGCTTACACCTACGTTAAATTCTCATCACTCCATGGATTGACCGGTATTCAAGGTCAATTTGAAAACTGTTTATTTTTATTTAAATAGAGAATACCTAATGGCATTAAGGCCGCCCTTTGTGTTATTTTATGAGAATTTAATAAGCATTCATCAACATCAACATCATCATTACAGCCCTTCACAAATCCACTGCTGAACATAGGCCTCCCCCAAGGAATACTACGTATACAAAGCGCCGTCCCTAGCCACCTGCATCCATTGACTTCCTGCACTTCTTCAAGGTCGTGAATCCATCTAGTGGGGGGATGCCCTACACTTCGCCTGCCGGTACGAAGCTGCCACTCAAGAAACTTTCTTCCCCCACGGTTGTCACTTCAGCTTACTAATCCGTTGAGCTATGTCGGTTGCTCTAGTTCTGCTGCGGATATCCTCGTTTTTAAGTCTATCACGCAGAAAAATCCCGAGCATAGCCCTCTCTAAAAAGTATTAAATAAATAAATACATAAACGACGCAATTTACTTTTTTGTAATAAAAAAATTATTTACATAACATTGAAATATTACATTATGAAAAACGATAATAAATTATCATACAGTCCTACGCCACGTGGTATCGTGCCAAGAGCGGTGGCTACGTTTCCTCGCTGATTGGCTATACTTAGCCTTTGAGCGAGGAAAGAATCAGCCCTCTTATCAACAGCAGCCATAACGATGAGTTTTAGAAATTTCACCGCACGTGGACCCCACGGACCAATAGTCTCTACAGTAAATGGCATATTCCATAAGGCGCAAAACCGAGGGAACATTTATAGAAACAGGAGCTTTTCGGGTCACATCGTTCAAAGAACCGTGACGGGAAAACCTACCAGCACTTTTCTGACATGAAAGTCGGTATAGCCCAAATTCGTCGACATATATATGTTTATAAAACTCTACATTAAACCTATCTATCTATGTAATAAAATGCAAACTTTTAATTTAAAACATCCAGCTTTCCGTTTCAAGGACATATTTCTGCGGTAAAATCAATAACATATTATGGCATAAATTTTTATTTCTCAATCAGCTATACATAAAAAATACGGCAGAATAATATACATATATCTGGAAGTTAATTTTACAAATTATTAAAATATTCGTGAATTGAGGTCAGTAACGCGCAGGGTTAATGCTCTATTCGTGGAGTTCACTTAAATTACTAAAAAATTTACAATTGTTGCAACATTTCTTACGAATATTTTTATACTAATGAAATTTAAGGTTTTACGTTCTCTCTATCTTACTTAAAGAATCACAGCATCATCATAACTTGTACAGTTTTTAACGGAGTTCTATAATGGGCGTTTAAAGAGTGGGTCAGCTCGGCCATACCAGCGAAGAACAATGCTCGTATTGAATTTCGGCGTAAAATAGCATCATAATACTACTGTATTTTGTTGTATATATATGACTTTTCTATAAAATTATTAAAGAAACTGTTAGATAGGTCTTTGAAAATCTTCTAACGTTTTATTTAAATTCCAAGACGTTATACTTTAATGGTATCACACACGCAGCAGTTATAGTAACATATATATATATATAGTTGAAAGGAAAAGGAATCCAATCTAATATATAAAGGAAAAGGGTCACAGCAGGACTGCAAAAACTACCGTGGTATCAGCTTGCTTAGTATTGTGGGTAAACTGTATGCTAAGGTGTTAATTGAAAGAGTTATGAAAGAAATTGATGCAAAAATTTGGGATGTGCAAGCGGGTTTTTAGAAAGGGAATGGAGTGTACAGATCAAGTTTTTTTCATGCGCATGATTGCGGAGAAGTTTTTGGCTATAAAACAGAAAGTTTTTTGTGCGTTCATGGACTTGGAAAAGGCTTATGACAGAGTGGACAGGAATGTGTTATGGCAAACACTGAACTCATATGGGTTGAGCGCTGGTTTGATACAGGCATTTAGGTCTCTTTATAGGGATTCTAGTGCTTGTGTCAGGATCAATGGGGTCTACTCGGACTGGTTTAGCATCCGAAAGGGTGTCAGACAGGGGTTGTATTAGGATCAACGGATTTTGGACTGTCCCGTGGTGCAATATAAAGGTAGATAGGTGTGGCTGTGTGACTTCCCCTTGGCTGTTCAACCTATTTATGGACAGGTGTTTGCAAACTTTGAAAGATGAAGAATGTGGGTTAAGAATGGGCGAGTTAACCGTCAAATGCCTTTTGTATGCCGATGATCAAGTCATATTTGCGTCATTGGCGGCTGAGTTGCAAATGATGGTTACATTAATGAACTGGGCATTAAAAGAAAGGGGAATGAAAGTGAACGCAAGTAAGACGAAAGTGATGGTTTTTGAAAGAGAAGAAAGCAAAACGGTATGTGAAATAAGAATAGAAGGAGAGTTAATTGAGCAAGTGGATGAGTTTGTGTATTTGGGAAGTGTATTTAGCAGGGATGGTAGATATGATAAGGATATAGAACGACGAGTAAATGCAGGGAATAGAGTGAATGGGGCACTACACTCTATTATGAAGAACCAGAATGTGTCAAAAAAGGCACGTATGGTAATTCATAATGCTGTGTTTGTCCCTACTTTAATGTATGGTAGTGAAAGCTGGGTGTGGCAGAAGAAGCACGAAAGTAGAATGCTGTAGAAATGCGGTATTTAAGGAGTAGGGGTTGAATCCGAATGACAGGGTGAGAAATTGCGTGATAAGAGATAAATGTGGTATGCAAGATGATGTTGTGACCAGGATTCAGAAAGGAATACTTCGGTGGTTTGGTCATGTAGAAAGAATGAATCAGGAAAGAGTGACAAAGCAAATTTATATGGCAAATGTGAACGGCAGAGTCGGGAAGGGACGCCCTAGAAAAAAGTTTATCGACCAAATTGGCGATATTTTGAAAATGGGCCAAGTTAGAAGTACCCTTAACGGACGAGCATGTATGCGTAGATATATGGATGTAAAGGAGGCGAAAGAGGTACGTCAGGATCGTGCAAAATGGAAGTCCGTAGTCTCTGCCTACGCCTCTGGGTGACAGGCGTGAGTGTTTATGATATTATAGTTTATGATTATATTCGGCTCTTATCCTTATCTGCTAGCACGTTCTTTAAAAACAATGCTTGTATGATGCAATACAGTTTTGCATTTTCCAAAGTTTTATGGTTCTTGATACGTCAGAAGATGATTTGGGTTGTAAAATTGATGCGTGTATTGTGAATAGAAATTCATATAAAAGATTATGGAAAATAATCTATGATGGAAATGGTTTTCTAATAATAAAAAGAAGTAAAGGACAGTCAATGACATTAACTGCATTTGCGAACACATGTATAAAACTGAAATTGTAAACAGAATATTCCAATTTTATATTATTTAATTGTTATAGATTCATAACAACTTATGTTAGGTTTTGTCCATTTCATGCAATACTTTGTGCACTATTCCATTACCATATTTCTATATTTTTTAAACATTTTTGTTTTCATATATTTTTATTTTAACTCATTAATAGTAATAGCCCAAAGCAACCCGGGCAAATTCTTAATTATAAATTCTAGACGCGGAAATTAAAAGCACTTAAGTCAAATCTTTTTGCATGCAAAAATTTTACAGGGGCGGGTTTTATTCGATTGGTGTGAAAAAAATGTAGTACAGTTTTTAATTTTTATTGTTTTTTATTACATAATCACGAACCAGTTACACGTTAAATGTAGTATATTTCAAACTTATTTATTATTATCTGAAATATCTGACTTTAGTTTTTATGTGCGCAAAGAAATCGCAACTTAAGTGTTTATTACTGTACCATACAACTACGTAGCTTATTAATGTTTAAAATTATAAAAATGAACTATCAATAATATTTAATAATTATAATAATGCTTATTAGTTAAGTTTTTATAATAAACTAAAAGCTACTTTCTTCAGAATTTGATACATCTGGATCAACGTCAGTTGTGTCTGTAGCAGTTACTAAATTCTGGTAAAAATTATGGAAACATTCCGGTATTAAAGATAAAAGTGATATTATGTCACGTTTTTCTTTTCAATACTTATTGGTACCAGCTTTGCAGTTATCTGCATCAAATTAAATTCCTTTTCTCGTCGCGTGTTCCGTTTGAAATTAATGGTATTAAAACATTCATCTCTTGACAGATATTTTTTGTATTTTATGACGCCATACTCAGCTTCGTAACACAGCCACTTCACATCATGCCATTTGAAAATATTTCCATCATCGTCTTTTTTCGGACTACTAACGACCCTTTCAATAATCCAGCGAAGTCAAAAAAATCTGCTTGCCGCATTTCTTTAATTGTAAATTTTTTGCTGCTCGACCTAATTGCATCCAATCATGTGGATGATAAATTTCAATTTCAGTATTTTTCTTTTTTTCTATAATTGCATGGTCCAAGTCCACCTCCATATGTGTATGACCAGGTACCATAAATTTATTAACTTAATAGAGGGTTTTACTGACAACAAGTAGGTAAACATTGCAGCCACATGGGTGTTCTTATTTTGTCCTCCGCAAGTATCAGAGTACAAAATTACTTCTGAAACTTCTTCAGGAAGTTCTTTTAAATATAAAAACAAACAAGAGGCTATTTGATTAGCTCCTCGACCCGAAATTCCCTCATGCCACACGTGGTGCGTTGACATTCCAGTTCCGTTGTCATGTATCGTAAGATTAAAGGTCCAAAGTTGTCTTTTGTAAAAGGCTACAGATGATTGCAAAGCTGGGGTTGGCAAGCATTGTTGTAGGTCAAAAGACAGACACTTGATTTTTTTATCTGTAATTGAGGTATTTTTGTCAAACTTCTCATTGTAAGCCATATCAGCTGCTAGTAAGTGTGCGTCCCGTTCTGTTTCAAGAGCAAATTTTTTCGTCTCGTCCGTAGCAATGTTTAATTTCATTTTAAACAGGTCGCAAGGGAATTCTCTACGGTAAATCTTGTCACTTACAGGATTTTCATGTGAAGTTGAATAAAGAGAATACATTTTTGATATTGTCAAATGCGATGGTAAATATTTCCGGGTGCTTTTGCGTCTAGTGTAGTGGCTTTCATAAAGCGGAAACGAATTGATATGATTAATCACCTCTTCAATTTTTTATTCAGAATGTTTGTTCGGTGGTGTATTCTTCCCACGTTTGTCTGTTTTTATAATTCCACTTGAGCTGCTACGTTTCTTCAACCCGATTAGTTTAACAAAATTATCACTTATTGATAGGGTTTTTAGAAACCACCCAGGTTTTGACACACCGATATTTTTTCACTATTAACGTTGAAATGATACTTTTAGGTGTGCTGTCTACATTTTTGTTTGTCAGGATCTTCGCCACGAAGACGTTCAGTTTTTTTCTCTTGCATAGTGATCAAAGATGAAATGAATGCTGCCCTTAAATCGTAAGACCCAAGATTCCAAACCTCCTTGTGTATCAAAACGCGCTGTTTATCACTTATTTTCTGTTGGCACTTATTCTGAAAGTTAGGTAATTCCTTCTTTTGACGTTTTCCAATAGTTTTCCCAGAAGCTGTCACATAAGATTGGCCAAGATTTCTTTTTAATTTGTTTTCTTGCTTCTTTTTTCTACAGGACACTGGTTGGTTTTGTTGTAGCAAAGAAATATCTCCAATGTGTTCAGGTGTCTCATTGTCTGGCGTTATATGCATATCCACTGATGCATTAGAAACAGCAATTTCCATTTCTTTATGTTGTGTGTGTAAGCTGGGACTGCCTGGAGAATAATTAGGATCGGCCACAGAGTCGTCACTGGAAAAGTCACATATTGTTTCATCTAAAATAGTTTGTTTTAGGGTTCCAGATGTACTTGGTTGTGGATTATTGAATGGGTTTTCATCACCTGTAAAAAACAACAATAATAAAAACTGATAACAGATTGGAAATTGTGATGTTTTTAAATATAAAAAAAAATTCTAAAGAGGTGTGGTAGTCTCAAATAAAGCTTTTAAACAGTTTTACATATTACCCATTGTAATAAAATGATAAACTAACGTTCACATCAAAAAACTTTTACGCCGACACAAATTACTGGGATAAGAGCAGGAAAAAGAACTTCACCACATACATGTATTCTCATTCATTGCTGCACTGTCATTATTTATGACGAGATTCACCAATTTTCTGGCCCTTGAATCCATTGCGATACAGTTAACTTAACGTACACCACCTCCGTCATACAGAAACAAATAACAACTAATGAAGAAATGTGTATTTCTTTTGACTTAACTAAAATTTACCACTTTATCAGACCCTTAAAAAAAGGGGGTAGATACTTCAAACTATTATAAAGAACAAAAACGGACCATTGTAAAAAACCACTTAAGTCAGTCAACTTGCGGTATAAAAAACTTAAGTCAATATAAGTAATTTTTGTCGCCGCTCGATGTGTTGATAAAATATAAGTTATATGGTACAATCGGCTGTTGCGTCTAAATTAAGCGTCGGAGACTTACGTGCTTCTTCCAGTCGACGGATGATACAAAAACACGATTGCTTTGACTTTTTTAGAATTTAGCGCAAAAATTGACTTAAGTTACTTTTGGCCGCCGTGTCTAGAATTGTAATTTTAAGTGCTTATTTAACATGTGCGCGACTTGAAAACTCAACAGCATGGAAAAACTTGGATGACTGAGATATAAAATATTTCTAGGCCATATAAGAAGTCCGCCAATGTAGAACAGTGCAGCGAACTAATTGATCCAAAAATCAGGGACAGAAAGGAAGCCTGTGCCCAGATGTGTGAGACTTGGCTGTAACTTTATTAAAAGTTTAATTAAATTAAACACTGTATTTCTTTTTATGATTAAGCTGTTGCATGCTAGTATGTAAGCTTTTCAATCAAAGTGAGACAGAAAAACTGCTTTTAATAATAATTGTTAAAATGACGGTTAATAGTTGAAAACTATCAAAGAGAAGAGAAAATTAAATATGCACCAATTCTATAATTGGTGCACACACCAGTTTATACACAACCACATAACAAAACGTGTTACTTAGTGTCCTGGGAACTATATTACCCGATGTTTTGGCTCTTTTTCTAATAGGAATCCACACTAATATTTAGTATTATAAATGCGAAAGTGTGTTTATTTGTTTGTTTGTCCTTCTTTCACGTCGCAACAGAGCATCGGCATCGCATGATTTTTTGTATGGGGATAGTTCGGTGGCTGTAGAGTGACATATGCTACTTTTTTCCGCGGAAAAACATCTCGTTCCCGTGGGAAAATATGTTATGAGCGAATATGTTGCAAAATTAAATTCAGCTAGGTGGCGCCACCGTGATTCTACAAGACGGACGACGGTACGATGGACGAACACAGAAGGTCAGAATATCTGGATTATTATGTCTTTTTTCCAAAATTAAGATAAAAAATGTATGGATCTGTATTTTTCCACGCAGGACCGGGAAGAGAGCGATAAAAAACATAAAATTCACCAGCTGATTTTCTTCAAACGTTTTGGTGCATTGTAATTCATAGAATAGGCGATAACCTCGCAGACGATATTAAGTAATCCGTTGATGCTCTGCCTACTTCGCAAGGGTTACAGGCGTGATTATAAGTATGGATCAGAAATACTATCACCACCTGTCACGCTTTCACCCTTAACTATTACTTAACTGTGCTAGAAACAGTTCTTAGTAAGCCTTATTAAGGGTAGTATATAGGGTATAAAGTACGCAGGGTGGGGTTCTTTCACCTCTCCTCTGGAATATGGTCATTAATGAACTCATCAGCAAATTAAACGCTAACCATTTCTACACAGTCGGTTATGCAGATGATCTGACAATACTGGTCTCTGGTAAAACAGCAAGCATTGTGTGCGACCTGACCCAAGCGGCTCTCCGTATTGTGGAGAGATGGTGCAGGGAATATGACGTTAATCCAAATTAAACGGTTATTGCAATGTTCAAACAAAAACGAATGCTGAATAACTATCATCTTCCAAGTCTTTTCAGCACAAAACTCCAACTTTCTTCCGAGGTAAAATACCTAGGTCTTACCTTGGACAGTAAATTTAACTGGAACAAACACATAGAAAACAAAATCAGCAAAGCTAGTTTAACTTTCTGGCAATGCAGAAACGTGATTGGCAAACGATGGGGCTTAACGCCAAAAATTATACTGTGGCTGTACAAAATTGTAATCGGCCCATGCTCACATACGGCTCTCTGGTATGGTGGACCAAAACCAATGAAGCCACCACTATACAAAAGCTTCAGCGTTACCAGAGATTAGCTTGTATGGCTGCCACGAGCTGCATAAGGACTACACTAATAGCAGCTTTGGAGGCTATGCTGGAGCTAACACCGCTTCATCTACATATACAACAAGAAGCAACTTTAGCTGTCATTAGACTCAAGACCCTAAATCTTTTAAGTAAGAGTAAAGTCCCCCATACAGATTTAATCGATAGAATTTACTCAAAAATTCCTATCTTACAAGCCAAGTATGATAGGATCCCAAAACAATTTGTATTCGATAAGAAGTACAGGATACAATTGGAGGAAACTGACCATCTGGAAAGATTGGGTCCAAGAGAGCTCAAAGTTTTCACGGATGGCTCTAAGACAAATGAAGGTGTGGGGTCTGGGGCTTTCTCTGAACACCTTAATATCCACATATGCACACCGCTGGGTACCCACAACACAGTCTTCCAGGCTGAATGCATGGGTATCATCCAAGCGGCCATAGCAATAGATGCGAAGGTGAAAGACTTCTCCATCAGAATACTGAGCGACAGTATGGCGGTACTCGCTCTGAGTAACAATGTGACGAACTCGGGACTGATATAGGAGTGCCATCAACGATTGAATGAGGTATGTAGTCACAACAATGTGACTCCGCAATGGATCAAGGGACACAGTGGATCTAGAGGTAACGATTCAGATGAACTTGCCAGAAGGGGATCGGCCCTAGCAACTATAGGACCGGAACCAATAATACCAATCCCCTTTGGCTACTTTCGTTCACTGGTACGTAGATACTTCAATAATTTACACGCTCAGCTTTGGAAAAATTTAGTAGACTGTAAACCAAGTTCTACTAACGTAGCAACCAAGGTTCTAATGAGACTGAACAAGCCACAGATCAGGATAGTAACAAGTGCTATCACAGGACATGGCTCTTTTAACAAACATTTGTTCACCATAGGAGTTACTGACAGCCCCCTGTGCAGGGCATGCATGGGAGAGAAATAAACGGCGACTCATGTGTTGCTGACATGTCCAAAAGTCGCTTCATAGAGGGCTAAACATCTTAGCACGCCGGGATCGCTCCCCCGAAGTTTCTTGCAACATCAAGGGGCTGCTGAGCTTCTTCGGGGAGATATCATGGCTCGAATAAGCATATTATTCCTGGCAACACGCAAAATACGTGCTTAGACGTGGAGTTGCGGAAAATAGCCCGTCGTAAACTAAACTAAACTAAGCCTTATTAATAAGCCTTAGTAACATATATTGAACGGAAACGAATACACTTCTTATATGTGGTTATGAATGAATCGGTATTACAATAAGAAAAATTGTGCAAAATTATAAGAATAATATTTTTTGAGAGTTCTTATTAACTAACGTATACATAGTTTAAATTGATTCCGCTAGATGTCGCTACTATGTTTTTAAAATGCGGTAACGAAATGTTTCCTGACATGTACTTAACTCCCGCCGTTGAGCCGCGCGTCAACTTATAGTGCATAGGGTACCTATACGCTTAAATTGTTTATATTTCTAGCTTATTCGACTACCTGCTTTCGATTTCGGTTGTTTGTTATTTGCTTTGTGATTTGATTAAGGTTGAATGGATTTATATTGGCTTTCATTTTCGGGTTTGTGTATTTTCTCGGATCGGTTTTGTTGATTTGGTTGGTATTCCTTCATACACATTTAGACTCTGGCTTTGATTTTGGATTTTGTTTATTTAGATACGTGAATTGGTTTTCGTTGTTTTAGGTTGTTTAACAATATTTCAAAGGAA